AACTTAAATCCCCTAACAAGAGCCCAGTTTAGGAGTTAGGGGTTTATCTGAATCGCCGCGCCGCCAATCTGGCTAGCTTGAAGTGTCCAACGGGTCAGCAGTCAGCGCCTCGACCATGCCTCTTGTCTTGGACAGGCGTTTTGAGCCGATGTATGTTGGATACTGCACCCATTCAACAACAGTTGAATAATAATAACAATAATAATAATAGTCAATATTATTAGCATAAAGAGATATGAGGCCCTCAATAGTAGCCCTATTGGTACATGAGAGCAGTGCCGAAGATACATGCATTGTTCATGACTTGCCTGTTTCCGGGCCAAGGAGAGCATCCGACGCTTCCAATCGCCAGAAGGACGGACACTTTTGACGTATAGCAATCATCTCGTGACAATTCCATGTACGGCTCTTGGAACTCTAAACCCTAAACCTTACTACACACGCTGGAGGTCGTAATCGTGGGGCCGCCCGAAGCTGGAAAGCCGGGGCCGTTGTTCTCCTGTGTTGTCCTGGCAGTTTCAAGAGCGGCTTCATGACGTCTCGGCTCGCCAATGCCACAATGCCCACACAGGTCCATCATCGCGAATATCATCGCCGAGGCTGCTGAGACAGCTTCCGAGGCAGGAGGGGTGCCTTGCAACAGGATCTCATGGAGAACTTCTACGTCCGGGAAGTCATCAGAGATGATACGTAGTACTAGTACGGTGCAGAGTCCGGGTGTCAGCTTGCCGGCCTAGTTGCAGGGAGGTTGGTGTTGCCATTAAGGCGCTCAACAGTGTAGAGGAAGTCCCTGTTCTTCACAGAAACAGCATTGAGGAGGATTCAATGATTGCAATCCTGGTGCTTGCCTTGCAGCTTTTACAGCTTCAAGCCAAACTCCCATGTACATTATCTCCGACTGCAACTCCCTCAACTAAGTCTGAAGCTACCCGGCTTTCCTACGCATAGGTCGAACTTTGCAGGGCGTTAAGTCGTGTGGGCTGTCATTGCAAGACAGCTTGATGGCGTCGGCAGCTGAAGAGAACAAGGACAACTATCGAGGCCCGTGTCCGAATTTACCATGACAGAGCACGGCAGAACCGTTGGTGTTGTCACAAACTTTCGGCCTGAGCAAAGGTGTCTTTGATGGTTGCCTTGGCTTCGGAGAGAAAGCAGCGCTCATCGTCATTGACTTCACCAAGGTGGGAGGCAGTAGCAGCTGGTGTTGTTGCAAAGCTTTTGATCCCTTGAGGCCTACACCACACCAGGCAGCTCTTGGTACTGTCCTGGAAGGGGGTACGGTGTGGTGGACGCCGTGGCGGAGTCACGTCCGCTGGTGGAACTGGCGAGAAGCAAGGGCGTTCCAGTCTTCTACACGAAGGTGTACTTCGAGCACCCCAGCGATGGTGGCATCTTCACCCAGAAGATCCCGAAGCTGCGCACTTGGACGAAGGACAATCCGCTGGTCGAGATTGATGACAGCATCGCCCCTCATGAGGGCGATGCCGTCCTCGTGAAGCAGTATCCCTCTGCTTTTTTCGGCACCAACCTGGCGTGCAACCTTCGTGCCATCGGGGTCGACACTTGCATCATGATTGGCTGCTCCACCAGTGGCTGCATCCGGGCCTCAGTGCTGGACGGCATGCAGCAAGGCTTTAGGTGTGTCGTCCCACGGGAGTGCGTGGGAGACCGCACGCAAAGCATCCACGAGTCCAACCTCTTCGACATCAACGCAAAGAACGGAGATGTCTTGCCTAAGGAGGCAGTCATGGATTACTTGGCAAAGTGTTAAAATCGACGCGCCTTGCTACCGCCTTTACCAAGCTTAGTGTTGCGGTGAGCCTGCTTCCGTCCCTACGATGTTGATTGCTCCTCAAGTTTATGCACGCTGTTGCCTCCAATCCTCCCTGAGTCCTAAATCGCGGCTGTGGCTGCAGTGGCCAGGTTTATCGTCCCACTGCTGGCGTTCGCATATTGGAGTGTGAGACAGAGGCAGGCTCCACGTGGCTGGAGAGTTTCTGAAAGGGACGCGGTGCCATGACAGGTCCGCACTGCGACCGGATCGTTGCGGCTGACTGTTGAGATTTGGGATGTGTCCGGCGATACCAAGCCTGACGCTCAGCTTTGCCTGCAAAGCATCTCACCTACCTGAAGCTTTTCAAGCCGGAAGCAACATAGCCACGACCTGTAAGGATAGCAAACACAAAAATAGCATGCCTGCGAAACGCTTGCATGTTGCTTGGATCGGTGTGCGGCCCGAAAGCCTAAACCAACCGTAATGTTGGGGGCATGTATGATCAGTGTCAGGTTCCAGAAGTGCTGGCCTGCCATCAAGAAGGCTCCGATCGTGAGGTTCTCTGTTTAGGATGTACGGTTTCGGGCTTTAGGGTTTTGGGGTTTAGGGTTTAGGGTTCAGGGGCCAGGGTTGCTGTCAGCATGTTCTTAACGATGTTCTTGTTAAAATCGTTGCTGTGAATTGCTCTCCTACTGCTCCCTGCTGTTATCGCTTACTGTAGTTGTTGGTGCTCTTGTGGTTTTTTCTTTAGCAGCAGCAGTTTAGAAGGGAGGAGGTCTACTGGTGGTAATGGCAGTGGTTGTGGTAGTGATAGTGGCAGTAGTAGTGGTCGTAACAACAGTGAAGGGCAGCTGTACGGCTCGTCGTGGTAAAAACGAAGCAGTACGTAAAATGACAACATGTTCAGGGAAGAGTTCAGTCGGAAAAGTTCAGTACCATACTACGATATACTGTGACACTATAGCATACTTTGATATACTTTGATATATTCAAGTAAACACTCCTTTGTATATAGAATCCTGGCAAGGCTCCTGCTATTAGGAATGTACGGGGTGGTTATGTAAGGTGAGCATGATTGGATCATGCGTCGCAGCGAGTGATAGAGAGCGGAGCAGGAGGACTAGCAGCAGTAGCAGTAGCAGCTTGAGTTGAAGTATTGCTATTGGTCCTAGTAGCAGCAGCCAAGCAGCAGCAGGAGCTTCATGGAAGACCAGAAGTGAATCGTAGCCAGCAGAAGTAGGAGTAGCAGAAGAAGCAGCAGCGGTAAGATCATTGGCTAAGCTGAGGTGCTGACAACAATGGTAAGCTACTGCCACTACCACGACGACGACGTCGTACTACTACTACTACTACTACTACTACGACTACGACTACGACTACGACTACGACTACGACTACGACTACGACTACGACTACGACTACTACGACTACTACGTGTGGAGCGCAGCAAACGGACT